ATGCATTCTTTGGAAACTTTCTCAGTCTACAGTTTCTATCCATCAGAATTAAAAATAGGTGCACAAAAATGAACACTGCAGCCACAATACCAGGCACTCTTGTTAGTTATTGAGCCATGGGTATAGTTTGGCCAGTGACCAGTTGTGTGTGCTGATTACACAGTGGTGTGTAAAAGTGATCTGAATTTCTAGGTAGAACCTATATCATAGGAAATCAAGTAAGCATTGGCAAAATTTGTTTTCCAGTTTGTGTTTAATAAGTCTTTTTTGCACATATTTTATTTCTCATCATGAATTTAATGTCTATGTTTTATTTCTTTAAGAGTGGGGCGCCTTTAACATGGATGTGCATCATTACAAAAATTGCATATGGAAAACTGAGCACCATACAAGAATATTTTGATTAATAATTTTAGATGTGGGCAAACTGCAGAAAGGGGGAAAACTTAACAATTTGTTCCGAATGTCTAGGACATTCACATCAGAATTTATGCTGATGAAATCTTTATATATGTGTGTGTGTGCGTGCACCTTTTATTGAAAGAAGGATCTATGCAATATGGATCTGCACTATAGAATTCAATTATGAATGCGCATCAGGTATTTTGATATGTTCATTTTCTGACCAAACAGTAGCTTTGCATTTCAAATTTGTATTTGCTTCATGATGCAACCTCTGCATTGGAGCTTTAAAATTCCTTATTTCAGTACAAGAATTACAATTGCAGCATGTAGGCCTGTTATTTATTTACTATGATCATGTCAGCCAGTAATGATGCAAACCAATTGCTAGTAAAAGCATTTCTGCTATATAAATCTGTCCTATCAAGAATTATGATGGAATTGATTTGTGGTTTGTTTATTGCCTGCCACCTTGTCTTGGTTACATTCCATGGACTGGAAAGGCATTTTATATAAATCTACACTTCATGGGATATGTTCTGCTGTGCTGTTACATTGTAGGATTTGAAAGTTGTGCTTTTGGATTTGAAGTTACATATGCGGAATGAAACTCAATTATTCTGTTTGAAGCCAACTTCAACAAGGTGAAGGTAGTTTTTTTTAGAAACTGAAGTGTTTAAATGTTTTTATAGTTTTTAAAAATCATCTCCCATAATGAAGTTTTTAGCATGATCAGGAAACCTCTGAGTTTCATTCTTATTCACAAGTGAGGGTTCTAACATTATTTTGTTGTCACTCCAGTATTTTGTGTGGGATTTCGAATCTTTTCTTTTTTAACTTCTGTAGTGCTGCTACTTGGAGACACCAGCAGTTCAGAAGAAGAAGAACACCATATTTATGTTTTCAGCATTTGAATTAATTATTAAATGGAATGCCAGTCATGGTTGAATTTCTCTAATTTGTATACATTATTAAAATTGTTGAATTAATGCTATGTCATTAAAATGTGCACTTCATTGCTATTTGTTGCTATCTGATTTGTGAGTCTGTTTATTTATATATATATATATAATGTCTGTATTGGGCTTTACTTTGCAAAACCTCCCTGCGGTGCATTGTTCTGTTCACATACAAGCATAGCAAATGATAGAAACAAGACAGCGATCAGCACCCACTCCCACGTAAGTTTCATGACGTTTGAAATATCTCAGTAATGTGTCTCTTGGGTTTTTAGAAAATGGCTATAATTTGGTTATTCATTAATCACAAATTTAGATTTTTTGAATGTATATCTTTGTGCCATGTTGAAATGTATCATTATATCCTTCCTGTTTGTTGGTCACAAATTTGAATTATCCAGTTATATCTGGTGTTGAAATGCTGCTGGTGCAGGATAAACTTGAAAGAAGTTGGGTTTTTAAATGTGGCTGACTGTTGTAAATGTTCAAGGTTCTTGGGATATTACTTTGAACATTTTGCCAAAATAGTTGATCATTTTTTGGTTGTTGGCTGATTGTGTTAAACATTTAAATAAGGCACTTGGGCGTTGTTTAAGAGTTTTTATATAAAAATAATTGAGGCAAGAAATAATTTTGAAAGCTGAGAATCTCATAATGTTCTGTTGTGGTATCCTGCTAGTTTGTCTGTGATGAGTTTGGTTAGGGCAAAATTATAGGTTTTGGGAATCCTGTGTCATGGAAGGTGCTGATGCTGTTGATGCACTACGTCTGCGCTTGGCCAAGTAAGTGGTAAGGTGTAATTATCAGGGGTATAGGATTGGCCCATATTTCATGGAGCCTTAATCTGGTGGTTTTATGAACAAGAAGGTACTGTTTAACTCTGATCATGCGCTTCAACATTTAGGTAGCTGTACATCATATTCTTCACATGCCATGAAATGTATATATGGAAGAAAGTAATTTTGTGTTCTCTTATGCTTAATGCAGTCTGTAGAAAATCATGTACACCATGATGGGAACTCTTCTTCCATACATTGTAATGTGTTTCTACCCTTTTCTTACAAAGAGGGCAGATGTATTATGGTACCCCTTGAAACTTCATGTAAGGTTTCTCATTTTAAATTATTTCAGAATTCTATTCTTTTTTTTTTTTTTAATAATGTTTACACAAAAGTTGCTTTGTTTTTGAGCTTGTTTGTGTTTGTTTTGTGTTGCCTGGATATTGTTGCAGGGAAGTAAAAAAATGTGTTAGAGGGAAAGGGACAACAGAAGAGGATCTTCAGGAACAAAGACAAAGTCGCGTGATGTCTATTGTGCTCTGGACAGAATGGGCAATTGCCCTTGTGTGTGTCCATTTTGTTACTTCACTACATAGTATGGCTGACATGAACAGGAAAGTTTAAGTGTTGATCCTACTTGGACACGTGTGTGTGCATGCATGCTAAAATTTTCACTGTGCTGTTATATTAACATGAAGATTGGCTTTGCAAATATAGAAGTCGCTAGTATAAATTGTTAGATTTTTTAATGGAGTTTGATTTGGGGAATGGCCACAAGTTTTTAATTCGAATAAATCAGCAGTGACATCGTTTTCCTTGTATGAACATGAGAAATTAATAAAGAATTTAGAGCCAAGTAGGTATCTGGAATTTTCAGTGTTCTGTTTAATTTAGGAATACAAATCAATACCTGCCATTGTATTAATAGACTTCATGCTGTAGTGGGATGATTTTGCTGTGCAGTGTTTATTGTGGATTGCAGTCTTATATTGTAAAGGTTCTGATGTAAATGGGGTGCATGACTTGAAACCTCATCTCTGAACAGTATTAAATATCAATGTTAGAGTCAATTTTACCGACCACACAATATATTTTTATTATTATTACACTACATGTTTCGACCTCGAGGTCATCCTCCGGTGTACGAACACAGCTGTATAATTACACGCAATCACATTCGTCTTCTCACTTAATTCGATCCTGTATCTTATTCAGGCTCACGCTCAGTAATATATCAAGCTCTCTCATAAAACACAAGTTAAAATTTAAATTTGTGAGTCTAATTTCAATTCAGGTCACTAGTTATGTTTTCACTTTCACTTTTATTCAGTCCACGCTCAATAATATATCAAGCGCTCTCATAAAACACAAATAAAATTGTTCTAAATGTCAAAAGTTAAAATTTAAATTTGTGAGTCTAATTTCAATTCAGGTCACTAGTTATGTTTTCACTTTCACTTTTATTCAGTCCACGCTCAATAATATATCAAGCTCTCACATAAAACACAAGTTAAAATTGTTCTAAATGTTAAAATTTAAATTTGTGAGTCGAATTTCAATTCAGGTCACTAGTTATGTTTTCACTTTCACTTTTATTCAGTCACTTCCTACTTACGTTCATCACTGCGTCAAGTTCACTTTAACTAGTTTAATTATATTATTGATTAAGCGTTCATGAATTAAAGGTCAATTTTATTATAGATTGCACTTTTGGAGGTCTTGCTTGTCTACTGCGTTTTGTGAAGTTTTGGGTCTGTTACGGTCCATGTCGTGATGGCTACAGTATTATTTTTCTTAAACTGGTGACCATATTACTGTTCTGTTAACTGCATATTGTAATTGGAACCATTATGTGTAACAGCTGTAAATGCAATATGCTAAAATTGGCTATAAGAAACAAATTGGAACATTTTAAAAATCAGACATTGATAAATATATGTATAAAGTAGTGTACGTTTACCACACTATAAGTGAAATTAATAATAGCTGTGAAGTTCTATTTAATACAGACCCAAAATTAACACCTGAAACAACACTGTAAGATCATGGAATGTACAAAGGGTTGTAGGTTCAAAAGGGTATGGTGAATGAGGAACATTTTTAAAAAGAATGGCACTGGAGTGCAACCCATTCCAAGAGGAAAAGCTGTCAGGAAGTGATGGTGACAAGATAAAGAATAGTGTTATGAGAACAGTCCCCAATGCGTCTAGTATTTTAAGTGTAGGAAGTTTGCCTATGATATGCAGGCAGCAAACCCAGCATATGAGTTGGGGGAACACATGAATTAAGCATACATTGTCAAAACTTTGGTAAGGAAGGTTATATCGGTGCCAGCATTTGAAAAAAAAAACGTGATTTTTAGAAGCTTGAATTTGACCCACCTTGTGGCAAATAATGCGAAAACTTCTTTCCAAAAGTAAAATAAAGTTTTGTTGTGTCAGATATCTAGCAAATATGTGTAGGAGAGTATTTCCAATGTACTTAATGAGCAGGACTATAATGACGCATGGGTACTGTGCAAGTAGGCGTATTTAGGAAATTGTTTATGTTTCGCGACGGTAGTGTCTAATTCAGCACGTTTATACATTATGTTGAGTAGAGGAACTGTTTTATCGGTTTCGGAGATATTTAATACAAAAGAAAGCGATTCGTGTATTGTTTCACAAGACACATAGGGTGATTAGCAATTTGTGCCGGAGCAAAGTTAAAATACGCAGAATTGCAATGGTGTTTGGTTCGAAATAATTTTCAAATGTTAGGTATTTGATAGGCTCTTTCAGAACCGGGAAATTTAGTCTATGTGAGAGAAGTTAATTCGTCAACCTGTATGAAAATCATGCCACACTGCCATCTGTCAGTAATTGTGCAAACTACGATGGGAAGTAATGGCGCGTCGGCAGAGTCTTGTATCAAATTTGAAAACTTTCTAGTAGTGCGCGTGGATCTTTCGTAGACGGAAGACGTATGTAAAGGCTCGGAGTGTTTCTATCTGGATTCCTTCTGGTGTGTGAAAGCACGAGTATCTTGCGTAACAAGGAACTAACTAAAATGGGATTTTAATATTGTAAACATTAGTGACTGTAAAAATGAAACCCCATCGCACTCTCGGTGTTATAATTTTGCTCGTCATAACACACCAGTTGATCGTCTTCGGTGAGTTGGTGTGCATGAAATTAGCATATGGCTTAGATTAGTGTTACAGAAATTAATGCCATGTAATAATTCTGAGTTCGCGTCTGCTTGTGGAAAAGAAATGTTGGCAAATAACACTTGTTTCGCAGCAAAAAGTCATCCCTGTTTTGTACTCTGAAGGTTCCAGTATCAAATACTGAATCGGAGACTGGCCGTCCTTTTTCGTGACATTAAAATGAAACTTTCAGTTCACCCAAGCAAATGCCGGCATAGTGCCTCAAAGTAGGCCGCAGCTGCTTTCACGTCTTTTCTAATGCATTATTTCATAATTGACCATTCCACACTATGTAGTCGGAGGTGCATAAATCATAAATAAATACACAGAGAAGTAACAGTTATGTAATACGCGTTTGTTTTCGTAATTTCCAACGTAAACTGGAATACCAAAAGTGATTTGTTTTTCATGTGGTTTTGTTGGTAATGTGTTCTGTAGGTTTTACGTAATTTTTAAAACACCATGGCGGTGCTGGTAAATTATCAGGGGCTGTGTATTTGATAATGGTGGTGTGCTACGGTTNCCTTCGTCTTGTAGCCCCCCCCCCCCAAAGATTTGCATTTTTGTGTAAGTCGAGTTTAAGCTTACACTGTTGTAACATTTTACACCCATGTGATTTTATGATTTTTTACGCCAATTTTTTGGAATCTATACCCGCGTGGTAAGTCTTGATTGGCACACAATACAGATGACAGCTTCTAATTCAGTCATAATGTATGTGTACATTCAGGTATGAAATAATTCCCTCTTGGGTTAACAACTTTTCCTGGTATTCTCGGCTATGCAGCAGAAAAAGCGTTGTTTGTTTTTACTGCAACTAACGTTAGAATTCGGTCTTTAAAAAACTTTTTCATCGACTGTGCTGTGTGAGTGACTTTCTGTCTAGATGTAAGATATTTAATTCCCCCCCCCCAGCGTCTGTGGAATTTTTGAAATAAAAGTATGGTTTTAATATCAGAATGTTCATCAAATTTGTTTTGAATTTCGACAGTTTTATATAAATTACGGAAAGCAAGTAGCAACCAAAATAAACATATACAGTATCAGCCACTTTAACTGTGTTTCTTCAGTGATTTCGGCCGAATGAAATGCTCTGATTTGTATTGTCGCAGCTGAATATACTTTGAAATGTTCAATTATTCGACTTTGCTCTTGCAAAACAAAAAGCACTGTTATGTCATTTGTTACTATAAAATTGTACCTATGTGATGTCTATGTCTGTATATACAGGTGTCCCTGGATGAAAGGTCAATATTCTTGTAAGTCAATAGTATCGGTCATTCTAAGGAAGAAAGTGTGTACGTGGTACAGTCATTAATTTCGTGGACTGTGGTTTTATCGCATCATATTACAAGGTATTCACATACGCTTACACAGATCCACATCGACCCTCAAATTAATTACCATTGGCCGCTGTGCAAGTCTGTCAACGTTCATGTAGCTGCCGAAAACGCTGCTGAAACATATTGGCAGGAAATTCCCGTACGGCGTCTCTTGTAGCATTGACGACCTCCTCGGACGACTGAAATCTACGACCACGTAGCTTTGCTTTCAAGCGGTGAAAGAGAAAGAAATTCCATTGTGCGGGATAAGGTGAGTACGGAGGGTGTGTCAAAACTGTGATCTGTTGCCTTGCCCGTTCCTCCTGGACAAGAACAGAGCGATGTGCAGGGTCGTTGTCTTGTAGTAAGAGCTAATTCTTCCTACGCCCAATGTTTCGCTAGGGGATTTTCCTAGTTTCTGGTAGAAGTTGATGTTTGCCCGTTCTTCAAACTGCCACATTTTCGATTTCCGCCACTCGCATATAACTGCAGTTCACAATAGAGGCCGTAGTTCTGCTTCCACTGTTTGCACACAACTGCCTCTTGCTGCGACGAGAGATGAACTATTTTTTTATTGCTAGTGGGGTGGGACTAAGTCCCTTGTACCAGCCCCAGATGATAGGTGAGGGTGATTGTGGAGCAATTGGTGGAATAAAGATTGCAGGGGAAACCGAAGTACTCTGAGAAAACCTGCCCCAGCGCCACTTTGTCCACCACAAATCCCAGTTGACCGAACCCGGGACGCCAGCGACTAACCGCTTGAGCTATGGCGCGGCCAGAGATGAACTAACAGGGCATCATATTGTGCCTCAACCTATCCGCTGTAGTGCACTGCAACGACGCTTTGCGGCCAGTCCACGAAATTATTGACTGGTAGTGTGTACATGCATCATATTCCGAACGGTTTCCGAGAAAGCTGTACAGTTCGGAAATTGTTGAGAAGAAAGAGATATGAAGTACGTTTGTAGTACCGCTATTTATTGTTAAAGTGGCTAAGTTCGTAGAGTTCACTTAGTGTAATATAATTTCGAAAATTCCAATTTCAACGTCAGTGCACTTTGCAACTCGTGTGAGGACATGGAGTATTGCTCGTCTCTACAGTGAAATATATCTAACTCCGAAACCGTTCGGAATATGACACATGTACATATACAGTTTTTTGTTTAGAATGACCGATACTATGGCTTCTCAGAATATTAACCTTTCCTCCTGAGGTAACTGTACACATGTATATGGTAAAGAGGTAAAGTTGGCCCTGTGGTTAACTAAGTATTACGTTATGAAGACGTATGAGGAAGTAGACCTCGTGACCTGAACTCAGTGGTCAGCTTCACCCTTTACTCCTAGTAAAGATTCTCCTGTACTGATTGGTGGGAGGCTGGATGGACCCTAGAGCCGGTTTGGACGACGCATAGAAGAGAAAATTCTGGACCCTACTTGGACCCCTATTCCGACGCCTCTGTCGTCCAGCTCGTAGAAAGTCGCAATACCGACTGCGCTATTTTAATAACTGTAGCGTAGATTATGAACTAAAAATCGTTTTTTTCTGCCCTTTTAAATCCATAGTGTAATAGAATATTAGCCTATTTTCCTTAGTTTGAAACAGTAGTAGTAGTCTTATGAGATCACCATGCTATCTGTAACCCCCCCAAACACCTTTTGAATGGCTGAACAAGTCTTTATGAAACGTGGAATGTATATCGTGGTACCTAAGCCCATCTCAACGGCGTACTTCATAAATCCCTCCCGTCAGTCTCTATATGTATACCCTTGTCGTTACTAGACAACGGCTCGGTAAAAACTTCACCGCTGCAACGAATACACAACAATAGAAATGTTGGACGAGACGTTTAATATGAGGTCCGTGTCGTATGAAAGGAAAATAGGCGATCGGTTCTTCCCGGAACATCTTGTTTACTCTGTTTGCAGTATTCCGGACCTTCATTCTATTCCGTTTCTGGTTTCTGAATAGTTTCTTATATTGTACTTCTTCAAGTCGACCCTTCCGAGAAAAAGACTTGCAGTAGTACGTCCATCTGTAGTTTATTCTAGGCAGTTTTCAGTCAGTTATTAACAAATTTACATGCAACACGGTATGGATGCCATGACATCTGAAGACGCTCCATTTAATTTTTTAATTCCCTATGAGTGATGGTAACATGGCTATCATTCGAAATCCAGAGGAAGTGACATTAGCTTTACTTTATAAAATATATGACAGCATATCTTCTAAGCATATAGTTTTATTAACTCTTGTATAGAATGTAAAGTAACATAGTGGTCAAAAAACATTTCAAGTGTCTTCCCGGTAGTCGTCCAGAGAGACTGACGAAAAACTGTTCTGGATAGTCGTTTCAATGGGCTTTCAGTTCGAAACATTACTGCTACATTGTATGTGGACATTCCGAAATATTTTTATCCTTACTGATATTCTAATTCAAATGTTCATTAAGGGATGGAATTTGCAGTGTATGAGACGGTTCCTATGTATTTACTATGAATAACAGATGAAATTATTTCTTTCCATGCAAATTCTCATTTCATTAACTTCAACACATCCATTAATCGTCCTATCATCGACGCTATATTTCGATACTTAAAGCGCCATTAAATAACCAACAAAAAGAAAGAGATTACATCAGTCGCTGTATATACTGTATTTGAAATAATGAAGTATGTTAAAAACCGTTCTTGTATTTTCGTCACATTGCTTATGTTACTGCGCTTTAGGTGTTAAGAATTGTATTTTTTATTATTATTATTATTCTCGTTTACCTCAGATCTAGTTTTCTATCATCCGTCTGCTCTGTCATTTACTTCCGATCTAGTTTTTAATTGGTCTCTTCCGTCGTTTGTTTTCGATTTTTTTGTTTAATTTGTAGTCTCCGATCTAGTTTCTTAATTCTTCTGTTCTGTCGTATACGTTGTCCAATGTTGTAGGATTCTTGACTGGATGTTTGCTGGTCTGCCTGACTACTGTTCCAAGTAACTCAAGCTCGCATATTGTACTCCTGGCATCCCTGTCCAATATTTGGTGAGCAGTTCGATGAATCGAGCTCATGCTGCGTCATAGAAGCTGTCATTGTTTATACAGCATCTGTAAATAACATAATGTTCTCTCACACTCGTGTCCATCGATATCGGAACATATCATGGCCATTATGGTCAATTAAGTCCGTTGGCGTTGATATGGCTGCAAAAAATATTCACAAATGTAGCATTCACTGTTTAAGTTAATAAGTAATCATGAAACCCGACTTGATTCAGCCACATATGACCATCTTCATGGGCTACCAATTGTAAAAGGAAACTTTACATTAGTTATCATCAATTATATAAAATTTGTTTGTAGATGTACGGTTACAACATTTTTCACAATAAAGTGGGCACTGATGTGGAGCCAATAAAGTGACGTACAATCATTTCATATGGTTGTATCTGTCTATATATGGAACAATTATTGTTCCACGTTCTTAACCACTTAAGGTTAGTTTTTTGTCTGCTCGTTATTTCACCGCAGCGCTACTGCCCAGTCACTCTACTCTAATTTTTTCTTCTGCGCTGCACTGAACTTAATAGTTTACACTGTACTTAGTACTTCCGAACTGCACTGAACTAAATAGTTGACACTGTACTTAGTACTT